CGATTTTTTTAGCAAATTTCATAGTTTATTGATTGTATAATTTCACGCGTATTATATCCTTCTTTCTCAGCTACTCAGCAGATGTTGAAATATTTTGGACACTAATGTATTACTACCGACTATAAATTTCTTTATAAAATATCGCTGGTACCTCGTCGAGTTGGTTTCGCCCATTGGTAATCAGCGCCACCCTGTGATTTCTGTATGTACTAGCCTGTATAGGAATATTTGGTTTCCTATCGAACATTCTTCAAGACCACTCAGTTAACCTTCTTTTAACAAGTTAGGTGTTCTGCGTCATTTACTTCCCTGGCGAGATTATGGTGTGGGTCGTTTGTTTTACTTCCAGATTCTGGGATATTATGCCCCAAATACCAGTTTATGGAGTAGCACCCTTTTATTTGGTACCTTACGTTTAGTTGTTTTGGTTTGGGTGCTACCCCGTCCATTGTCTTATGGAATTTTAACCCTGAGCGGTAAGTTCTTTTTTGAATAGCATCGGACCACGAGAAGTAATTCATGTCCTGAAGAAGTTTATTCAATATCTGCTTCGTTTTAGTGGGAAGGCATTGCAGAGAACCATCATTTAGACTCCTCCAGTTTTTCTTTGTAGCTCCCTTGTAGCTGTATTGCAGCCAATTTTGATTGAAGCCACCCTTGACAAAAAACCCTGCTACGAACAGGTAAAATATCATTTTAACTGGGTATTTTATAGATGTTAATATATTCATTGTTGTTGACTGACATGCGCATATGGGGCAGTGTCTACATGTCACATTCTTTTGCACTCCATCATGATTTTGATTTTTGAGCTGTCAGAACTTTATTAAAGTACAAGGGATAACTTTCTGAGGGTATATCACTTTAGTACATATAAATAAAAGATATAAATCTTTTTGCATTTGCTTTACTTGTAAAAAAATGGTACATGGTTTTTCTTCATGTTTGGGTGTTTTTAACGAGTAGTTTTGTCTCAGACAGAGAGAGTAGATTTTTAAGCAGACTTTCTCTCTCTAGGGTTTTTTTATACCGTAAATTGTGGAAAACGAGGCAAGCAGCCCCTAACTTGTGGCGTGACTGCATCTGCTTCTATGATGAATTACATAAAAATGTCAGCTGTAAGTTTTGTTCTGTTTCAACAGGGAACCATTTAAAGACAATTTGTATGGGTTTCATACGATTTGTTCCTGATTTGTCAAGAATCTGTTTTAGTAAAATAATAATGATACAAATACTTACATATTATTGCATGGTGGTGACACATTGCTCTCATCTTGAGAACACATTCAATTTTTGAGGCTTCTGGGGCATACCGCTACTGCACAGTAGTACAGTAAGTTATATCGTGTATACATAAACAATGTTTATTTTAGGTTCGCTAGGATTCACAAAATCTCTAGCGATGTCAGTCTGTAAAATAAGGAAATTATTGAGATTAAACCACAATCCTTGTACACCAGACTAGTGAATATCCATTTCTGTACCCCAGAGCCAGACTAGGTTATGTCAATTTCTGTCAAAAATGAGTTCAATATATTAAGCTTATGATAATATTGTTAATTCATCATTTGCTACATGCAGCATCCATCTATCTGTAATAATAAGGAAGTTACGACTTTTTAACTCATGTCAAGTCGCATACAATACAATGCAAGAAAAGTATTTCAAATACAGTTATCCTAAAACTACTTATTTGGGCTTAGTCTGGCTCTGAGGTACAGATCTGATATTTTGACCTTGTTAACTTCTGTTGAGATTATGTTATATTAATTTAAGGCAGCATGCTGGACCATCGTTTACGTAGGCATCTCATCATTATTTTTATTATTATTATTTTAAATTGTTACACTACGTGATTAATTGTAAATTACCAAATGTAGCCCAAGTCTGTAAATAGGTTAATTCCACCACAGGCGAAGAACACGTTCAGAACTAAACGCGCATGCACATTGCAAAACATTCGCTCCAACAGTCCGTATTCCGGTTCGTTTTATTATGTGGTATTTATTCTGAACTAATTCTTTACTTGAAAATAATGTTCTGAATAAAATTAGGAACATTTATGGTACAAGCAGGCATGGACAGACGAAAGTCAAGCGTCGAAATTTTGGATGGTTTGTTTACTATTATCCCTGTTTGGATTGCATAATTGTTTTGTAGTTTGAATCTCAAACCCACACGTTGCAATTTACAGAGGAATTTGAGAAAATAACATTGGTTTTTGAGGGTCCCCAATAACATAAACTCGTAAAAATGAAATTAGCAGCCTCGGAACGCTAACATTTGTGTTTTGTAGGTCATGAATGCAAATAGTTATTAGAATAAGTCTTTTATAGCTCCTTGATAGAATATAAACTGATAAGCGTTCCAGCATGGTGATTGCTAGTTCGTGTTTGAACTATGTCACCTGATATTCCGAAAAAGAAATATGTATTCAGGGTGTTCTCAAAGTTGGGACTTTACAGAGTTTTCCTTGTGACAAATATAGCAAAGTCTAAAGATAACCGAGATATTGAGTTCCTAAAAACTCTGAGTAAGTCATTCCACCCCTATCTCCCTCCCCTCCTACGTCAAAGAGGATGCTGGTGGTACTGTGATTATTATGAATAAATAAAGGAGGTGGGCTGGTAAGAAAAATATTCACCCATCAGCGAATAGATATAACATATACATTTATGAACAGTATTCATAACAAAGAAGAAAACATACTTCAAATGAAAACTGAAATTCGTGGTATACATAAATTAAATAATTTTCTGAGTATTATATATGTTTATTAAACAATAATAAAAGGTAATCAGTTTTCAAACACTTAATATATTTTTTACTAATCTTCTTCCTCGTCGGTATCATCAGAGGTACTTGTTGAAGTAACAACTCTTGTTGTTCTCACAGAAAATGAAGTGGGAGTCTTTTGAGATTGAGCCACGTGGAATGCATATGATCTACATTTAGGACACAATTTGGAACCACTCTGCAGATCACAGTTTTTAGATTTTCCAAGTATTGCTATAATGTTTCTGTTCAAGCAGCTACAGAATTCACTGTTTATTTTTCGCCACGTTTTACAACAATCACACTGGCATCCAGGCATTATGGTTTTATCAAGTTTTCCAATAAACGTTGAATGCGACAGCACAGCACAGTTTCTATACCTTTACTACGTAAATACTTTTCGAGCGCCAAATACCATGTCTGAGCACGCAGCGATTGCTGCGTGACTCACACTCTCCCGCAGCATTTATTACGTATTTTTGCATTGATGCGCTCACTGCACCAAAACAAATAAATACTCATATACAAGCTTATAATAAGTAGACTCACTGAGCATTAAAGTTAATATGGTTAATGGAACTCTTCGTAGGGAAAACATGATTCAAAGATCGAAAAACAACAAAAATGCACAAAAAGCCCTAAATACTCCATTTCTTGGCAATAATTTCTGAAGCATATTACATAATTTATACCTTAAATATTATATAATGACACGTCTTGAAGTTCACAAATAAATTTAATAATAGTCTGGAATCGAACTTTTTATTTTTGAGTGTGTTATGGGCGAAAAGTGGCCCTTATCAACCCACCTCCATTATTTTCCATGTGACTATACAATAGTAGATCGGAATTGTCATTAAGAAAGATGTTTAGTTGCTTAACGAATCGTCTCTGGTCATGTGTAGCATAAGCATAAGCATCAGTAAAAAAAACAATAAAAACTAAACAATACATACAATTTCGCAAATACCGTAAATATGCATATAATAAAGAATCGAGCTCAATGCAATACAAATTATAAGTATCAGTGGTAAATTAATAAATCACATATGATATTCAACAACACTGTTAAAATATTCTGAAACGTTATAGAAGGGACTGTTAAACATAATATCCTTAACCTTTGCTTTAAATAGATGTAAGTTGGTTATACCCTTTATGGAATTTGGTTAGTGGATATAAAGTCTGCCATAACCGTGGGGCATTTGGCGGTCAAGATAATACTATTCTGCACGAAAGTCCTCTATCAGTGGTAAATTAATAAATCACATATGATATTCAACAACACTGTTAAAATATTCTGAAACGTTATAGAAGGGACTGTTAAACATAATATCCTTAACCTTTGCTTTAAATAGATGTAAGTTGGTTATACCCTTTATTGAATTTGGTTAGTGGATATAAAGTCTGCCATAACCGCGGGGCATTTGGCGGTCAAGATAATACTATTCTGCACGAAAGTCCTCTACGCCAAACAAATAAGTTATTTCGATAAGTTCTACATATTTACCCCTTACATCGACCTTTAAATTGTCGTATCACATACCCTATTAGTCGGACAGCTACTTATTGAACAACCCCTGTATACAAAAATCGTTTCCGAACTTTTGATTGCCGCTGGTTCTAGAAAAGACGTTCGAAGGGGGTATATAAGCAGCCAGCCGCTTATCGGAGGATCAGGTTGTGTCGAGTTCCGAGCTAGCAGCCGTTGCGAGTGTATACTTGCACGACTGCGACCCACCCGGACATATTGAGCAATCTTATTGCAATTTTCATTGCGATAGATTGGTTGTTTGCCATCTACGATGGCAAAAATTGAGAAGCTGGTTAACCAGCTGAAAGAAAAGAAGGATGCTTTCGCCATGCTGGAAGAGCAGATGCGAAATCTGCAAGAAGCCTTCTTGCAGGCCAGACAGGAGATAGAGGACCTGAGCGGGAAGCTCCGCAAGGCCAAGAAGAAGGCCGCGAAGAAGACAGGAGAAGAGGAGGAAGAGGACCAGGGAGAGGAGGACCAGAAGCCTACGGAGAACTTGGACATGGATGCCCAAGATATCGACGTAGAAGCCGAGAAGAGGACGGACGACACCGATTTCAGTGTCGCCACCAGACGGAGGAAGCGGGTGCGAGTTTCCTCCTCCGAAGAAGAAGAAGAACCCAGGCAGCCAAAGATGCCAGCTGCCACCAAGAAGAGAGGTCCTAGAGCAACCAGGACCACCGAGGCCCCCATGGCAGGAACAGGAGTTCCGCCAATCAATATCGAGGGCACCGCTGATTGGTCATCCTTGAGTAGGATGATGAACAGCAAGGGGATTCAATTCTCCAAAGCGAGGACGGCGGGTACCAGTGTGAAGGTATTCACAAATACACCAGCTGACTACCGTCAGCTAGTCGCACTGCTGGAATCCATCAAGCGGCCCTTCTTCACATATCAATTGAAGGAGGACAGGATGGACCAGAGGGTCATTCGTGGGCTTCCGAGCGAGATGTCAGTCAATGACATCAAAGAGGATCTTGTGAGCCAAGGCATCGCAGACGCCGAGGTTCAGCAGATGACCTCAAGGACCACAAAGAAGCCACTTCCGCTCTTCCTCGTCAAGACGAAGATGCCGGAAAAGCTTGCAGAGATCCAGAGGCTGGCCATGCTCACGGTCGGCTTCGAGAGGAAGAAAAAGTCTTCCGAGCCCAGCCAATGTTACCGCTGCCAGCGGTACGGGCACACACAGCGGAACTGTCGTCTCGCTGAACGGTGCGTTAAGTGTGGAGAGGACCACAACAGCACCAGCTGCAGTCTGCCAGCGCCGCCAACAGGGCAACGAAACGCCAAGTGTTGCCTCTGTGGAGAAGGCCACCCCGCCAACTACAAGGGATGTAGTAAGGCGCCGAAGAAAGCTGCTTCTGCCCCCAAAGCAGTCCCCACCACAAATAGGACTTCTTACGCTCAAAAAGCGAAGAAGCCTATGTCCACTTCTGCCCCAGCAGCCGCCACTGCTACTGGAACTACTGCGCAGAAGCAACACGGCGATGACAGACTGCTAGCAATGATGCAAGCCATCATAACCCGCCTGGATGCACTCGAGGCCAAGATGCAAGACAAGCACTAGACCCGAAATGTCTACAGGTCAAAACGTAGAATCTCTACGCATTATCTCCTGGAACATCAACGGATTCAGGGCACGGAAACCAGAAATCCAGGAGATACTAGACCAGTACCAACCAGAGGTGATGGCCATCCAAGAAACGAAGTTGGATGCTGCCCATAGTCTGACGTTCCCGCGGTACGAGACGTACCGCTACGACAGAAGGGGCAGAGGTGGAGGAGTCGCATTACTCGTCAAACGTACCTTGACGAGCCATGTCCTCGACGATGCCGCAGACATAAATGGGGACGGAATCACGGTCCAGGTCCATCACAACCACCGTCCCTACAGAATCACCTCCCTATATGTGCCACCAGGGGAGGCCCTAGACGAAGATGACATCGCTGACCTCCTGAGAGGCCCAGGAGCACGCATAGTCATCGGAGATCTAAACTGCAAGTCTCCGGCTTGGAACAACAACGTCGAAGACAGGAATGCAAGGCAGCTCCAGGAACACGTCGATGCCCTGGCGGGGGTCATCGTCGGTCCGGAGCAACCAACCTACATTCCATTCGGCCTTGGGCGACCTGCGGTACTGGACATAGCCATCCTCCGCAACATCAGAGAGGAGTTCGAGATAGAGACCCTGGTGGAAGGATCGTCGGACCACAATCCGATTCTACCAACACTTGGCACAGGGTCTAGAACTCGAGATAGCTTGAGCACCAAACGGACGAACTGGAACCTTTACAAATCCAACGTCCAAAGGAACATCACTCAAATTCCAACCATCCGATCAGCGGAGGAACTGGACAACGCAGTAGAGGAGCTGGAGAATGCTGTCCTGCGAGCGCACGAGGACAGCACCCGCTCCGAGACTACGGCAGTTCCTAGATACCTAAATGGTCCAGCACCGCACCATATTAGGCACCTGATCAGGGAGAACAGAAGACTCAAGCGAGAACATCTCCAGCTGTTGACAGAGGAGTCGAGAGTTGCGCGAAACAGAGCATCGTTAGCTCTGAAGAACGCACTCGCGGAACTCCAAAACAACAGATGGAATGCAGCCTGTGCAGAACTAGAGACCCAGGATGGTACGGCCTGGTCTATGCAGCGAAAATTTCGTCGTCAGCGCACCACGATCCCCACTCTTCACGGCCAACGCGGCTTGGCCTACTCCAGTGAAGAAAAAGCCGAAGCATTCGCCGATTCGCTAGAATCCGAATGCAGACTCAATTACCATGAAGACGAGGACGACAACCACGAGGAGGCCGTGGAAGTCGCAGCCGAAAACATGAGGAGTCGACCACCTGGCCAGGAGACGGATCACCCCTCCAGTCCAGAGGAAATCCGTCTGATCATCCGCAGGTTGAAGGTCAGAAAGGCGCCGGGAAGGGACGGCATCAACAATAGGATGCTGAAGAACCTTCCCACCAAAGGCATTGCTGCGCTCACCAACATCGCCAATGCCACTCTGAGACTTAACCACTTCCCGCGGCGGTGGCGGGAAGCCCAGGTTATAATGCTCACCAAGCCAGGCAAGGACCGGAAGTTGCCCCAGAACTACCGGCCCATCAGCCTGGTTTCCTCGGTGGGCAAAGTAGTCGAAAAGGCTATCGCCGTTCGACTAGAGAAGCAGGCAGAAGAACTGCAACTTCTCCCCCCAGAGCAATTCGGCTTCAGATCCTCCCACAACACGGAACTCCAAGCGCTACGACTGACGGAAAACATCACCAGCGGCTTCAATCTCCAGGAGGCAACCGGTCTCGTCCTGCTCTACGTGGAACGAGCCTTCGACCGAGTTTGGCACGATGGACTCATCGCCAAAATGGAAGCCGCCGGAATCGATGCGAACATGTGCCAACTGATCCAGAGCTATCTAACACAAAGATGGTTCACGGTGAAGATTGGTACATGCCATTCAACAAGACGACAGCTGGAAGCAGGCGTGCCCCAGGGGTCAGCCTTAGCCCCCCTGCTCTACAACATCTATACTTACGATGTGCCGAAGACAGCTGACACAATGCTGGCCCTATATGCAGACGACACTGCTATAGCCGCCAAGCATAGACGACCCGAGATCATCCGTAGGAGACTACAGGGTGAACTGGACCAAATTCAGGACTGGTGCGTGAAATGGAAAATCCGCATCAACGTCCAGAAGACGCAGGCAATCTTCATTCAACGAAGAAGGATTGCAAGACCTCTCGAAGCATCCATCTTCGATGAAGATATCCAGTGGAGCGACAATGTCAAATATCTGGGGATCGTTTTTGACAAGTCCCTCACCTGGAAAGCGCACATAGAAGCTGTCATCGCAAAAACCAGAGCAGCCATGGCTCAACTCTATCCATTACTGGGTAGACACAGCCAGATGCCGCTAGCGACCAAGCTACGGCTGATCAAGGCCATCGCCAGACCTCAGCTCGCTTACGCCTCCGCGGTCTGGGGGTACGCTGCCCCCAGCTACCGCAAGCGACTTGCTGCTCTAGAGATGAAGCTACTCCGGATCGCCACCAATGCACCTTCCTACGTAAGGAACTCAACCTTGCGTAGAGACCTGCATTGGGATACCATCCACGAGTACATGAGGAAAAAAGCGGAGAAGACCTTCGAGAAAGCTCAGGACCACCCGAACGAGCAGCTACGATTCCTCATGGACTACGATCCGGACGAGAGGCCTCGCAATCGCAGAACCAGGTACCCCAGACCAAGGTCCCAGTTGGCACCCGCTAACTGTAACCTTGACTAGGAGACTAGGAGAATTTGCGGCTGCTCCCCCCCCCCCCACGGCGTGGATGCAGAGGACCAGGAACCACCGGGACCAGGACCCACCGGGACCAGGACCAACCAGGACCAGGACCCGCCACGACCAGGACCCACCAGGACCAGGACCCTTCAGGACCAGGAACAACATATTGGTAAGATGACTTGAAACTCTTGATTTTTCGAAAACAAGAGTTTCAAGAGAAACTAGCAGACCCTCTATCGATGATCGCTTAACGACATCGATAGAATGTGCGAGGTAAAGGGAACCAACCCGGCGTTCCCAGAGACTGAAACACATGAGGAGACGTTGTAGCAGACCGCAGGTCACGCACAACACATGGCCTACCGAGACGCTGATGAGTCGGGCCACGCGGAGGTTTAGGGTTTAGTGGGTATTAGGTGATCTCTTCAAGACCCTGGAGCCCCACACACGTCGTAGCTCGTGCTATGGTATGGTGCGTAAATGCATTCCCCCCTCGTTAAAAAAAAAAAAAAAAAAAAAAAAAACGGAGGATCAGTATTACAGTATTAAGCAGTGGATATATGAGCGAAGCAATGCCGTTGCAATCCTGTGCGAACCATCCGAACAGTTTCTATTATATTTGTGGTGAGGTGACACTGAAAGCTCAGCGAAAGACCTTGAGCTCACTTGTGACAGAAGCCTACGAATTATATTTCGAGTTCAAAGTTGCCGATCAAATTAAAACTTATTAGGAGGTTATGTCACAAATAATAAATTTCCTACAATTCAAAAAGAAAACATAACTTCAGAATAGGAGAACGCTGACGCTGTTACGTAATAGTTGACATCTGGAAATGCCCCAGCCTTCCTGAAGAAGAGAAAAGGGTATGAGAATCAAGGAGGCCATAAAGGCGTCCTACAATAATTGTAAGAACGACTGACAATACGGGCCTTAGATAGAGAAGGAAATGCATTCCTCTATTTGAGACCGAAATTCCCGCGTACAAGTGGAGCAAAGCTCAAAGAAGGAATTTTCGTCAGACCTCAAATATGAGAATCTTTTAAGGACCCAAATTTTTAAACTACACTTTGGAGAAACGAAAAAGGGCATGCGGTGCCTTCAAAAATGTATGTAGCAACTTCATAGGCAACAAAAAGTCGGACAACTGCGAAGATCTAGCTGAAGAACTTATCCAATCTTACAAGGCCTTAGGTTTGCAATAGGTCACTTATGCTGTATTTTCTTCACTCCCATTTTCCCTGGCAATTTGGGTGCAGTTTCAGACGAGCACGGCGGAAGATTTCACCAGCTAGTTGTTCAGATGGAGAAGCGCTTTAGTGGAAAATGGACCTCAAACATGCTCGCGGAATACTGCTGGACCATTGAACGTGAAACTGCCCCTGGCGAATACAACCAAAAAAGACAACCAAATAAACTGTTTGATTGTTTTTTTTACAATAAGAAGTATATGTTCTGAAAAGGTGGATTTGTAATTTTTTTTATTTTTGAAAATTCACCACTAGATCGCTTATAACTTGGGATTTTCATATTTTATATTATCCCTTCTCTAAAAACTTGTGAGTGATGAGGAGAAACTGACTGCATATTAGATTTCAGTACAACACAGTAGACGCAAAAAGCCCGAAAAAATTTCGGAGAGCGACAAAAATTTTCAGAATGCCGAACAGTTAATCTATTGGGAGGAACAACGATGTCGGAGATTGGCGTAGTCCGTAGCACTTAATTTCTTTTCTTTTGGTAGAAAAAGCTTCATGATTTTCTTCGATGTAAGTTGGACATCTATACATATACATAAAAAATGAACTGTCATTATCCCCAATTATTTCAATAACCTTTACAAAACTAACGCTGACATTTGAAAGACATTGTTTTCAATA